GGTGAAACATATACAGAGACGACAATTTTCATTCAGGAAGACAAGTATTAAAGTGTCTCTAAAAATCCTGAGTCTTCGAGCTTAAAGCTGAAGTTTTTGTTTTAAGCCGGCTTCCCGGTGTTTGCTTTTTTTTAAAGACGAACTCTAGGCAAGAAAATCGCTTAATGCTTCTTTTACAGCCAGAATTATAACTAAAAATTCTTTGGAACGTGTTCTTTCTATTTGCGGTGAGAAAATGTAAAATGTTTTTAAAGATCTGTAAGCTTATATAAACCTGATACTCGGTCAGATCATTGTCTCAAATCTTACAAACGTGCGTAAACAAAATAGCGGCATAAACTACGCTCGACTTCATTAAATTAGAAATAAAAAACAAACATCAAATACAATAATTAATCAGGCTTACCACTCGAGATGCAGCTCCTCAAAGGTATCAAGTAAGGCCAGTATCGCTTCAGACTTTGAAACCCTCTTACGCATTAAGCAAGGTGAAAACGAAAACGATGCCATCCGAAATCGGATTTCAAACTTTGACAAGTGACGTATTTCTCAACCAAAAACCCAATAAACAAACTAGCCATGAATAACAGAAGACTTCCGATAGCAGCTGATTTCATTTTGTACATCCAGTGGAAAAAGACAGTTAAAAACATCACAAGTTGACACAAATTCTGTCAGCTTCAGCTGTCAAAGTAACCAAGATTCAAAATGCTGCCTAAATTTTCCGCATGAAACTCACCTGTCAAATTTTGACCAATCAGAGCATAAAAATTGGGCGTAGAACGTGACCAACGCGTGAACATGGTGAGAAAAGTCAAAAGCAACTGTCTTCCCTGTCTGTAGCAGCTGACTGAATTTTCGCGTCCGAGGTCAGTTTGAAAACAAAGTTTTAATTGTGCAGAACATCAACACAACACATTTTATATGAATTTTTTTTTAAAAAAAAATTAAACTTGATCCTGCGATCATTTGAAAACCAGTACCTTGTCAGCGGATAACTTCAAAAAAATACTTGACCTCGATGGGTCGACACCTGAGCCCGCGATTCACTCAAGTGATACTGGTCAGCGGATACCTTGTTTTGACAGCTGTCAATTGATCACAACATTGATGTCCAATATGTGTATCAGTTTTCCTGTGCTCCCAAACTAGCTAAAAAGTATGATTGAACATTGCTCGCGATCTAGTAAAACAATTAACTGGTCAGGGGACAGCTTCCAAATAAATCACGTCACCTCGATGAGTTGACACATGAGCCCGCGATATGGTCATGGGATACTGGTCAGTGGCTATCCTGTTTTGACAGTTGTCAATTGACCATATTGTGAGTGTCATATATAAAAGATGAGCACTTGCCAAGACACGCTTAAGACACCCCTCCCTTCCTTTTGATAGTCTCCCCTACCCTACCCGTACAATCTGTAGACGCGTACGTACGTTCGCTCGGTCAGTCACGTGACAACCAAGCGAAAAGAGGTTGACCATATTCCATGAGTACGAGGCTCTGTCCCACGCACGCTTCGCGCGCGCGGGAGCCCCGCTATAAATATATTAACAGGTCGGTGCTTCGCTTTTATATTAAGAACAAACAATCTTCAAAAGTAAAGAAATAAACAACGATGTCGCCGTTTCTTGTTGCATCGTCTTTTTTTCTTTTTGGAATGTCCCTTAGACTGAGTTGTTTTTTCCAGCTATGCAAATAATTGGCAACGAGCGGCCTCGCGAAGACGCGGGGCTGCGAGACGTCGTCATAATGAAGACGTGCGCGAAAGTTGTAAGGCAGAATGAATCTCGAAGCGATGTAACAAAAGGTAGCGTTACATAATTTTTATGACGTAATGCAGAAAAGAGAATTTAAAAAAATCTGCTATATACTATTTAAGTAGTAGAACAGTTTTGTTCACCATGTTCAAGGTAATTTTCCGTCATGCCATCGAATTGAATTCAAAATATTTTTTCGTAAATTACGGTAGTTCTTGACATTTCTAAACAGAACAGCGCGCACGTGTAGGCAAAATCTTTGCTTGTTGGCACTTAGCGATAGCTGTAACTAGTTCTACTAAGAGATGGAATAACAATGTGATACGTACGTGCATTGAGCTTACCTGTATCACTTACGTCTGCTTCGCATGGTTAAATTTATCCCAGAAAGAAATGACTCGATTTTAAGACGTTGCATTGACTAAGTACAGTTAGGAGTTTAATTTCACTTTCCAGTTCTTTGGAAGAAGCAATAATTGGATGAGGCTGAGTATGATGGAAAGAATTATGCACATCGATGAGGATGGTATCAACCGAGGCGGATAACGCCCTTCGAGATCGGCATGATTCTTCAGATCATATGAAAGCCGAATACAATAATTGTTTTCACTGATTATTTAAAATATTTCCAACCAAGAGAAGATAAAGGGGATTATCCTCTCTTGTTCCAACTTACCAACAAGCCAATCTTAGCAGTTTTAAATTATGAGGGACGTATATTTTAGCAGACATCCTTCAAACCCGGCAGTTGTCATTGATTGAATGACTTTGTTAGACAGTAGTTCGTCTGTCTCTTACGCAAAACGTGTGAAATCCTCCGGGAGGGGGAGTTTGGAGAGGCGCCTCCGACCCCTTCAAACCCTGACCCAGTTTAACACAATAAATCTTTTATTTTGCTACCATGTGAAAGACATGAGACCTTCTTTCACGACTCCGACTCATTTCGTTTCACACAAGAAATTTAAAAGTGATTTTTAAAGCAACATAAAGATATTACAGTTTTTTGAAAAAATATTGTGGGTACCTCTCATGTAGACCGCGCATAGCCAACCTTCGCTTCCAATCCGAGAAGCACCTTGTTCAAGACGTAAATTAGTAAAATTGCATTACCCTGAAAACCATACCCTGTTCAGCGGCACATACTTGTCTTGGCCAAGTTAGAGAGTGTTCCCTGGAGGAAAGAAAAATCCTCAGCTTTCCTAAAACAGCTGAACTACTGCGCGTTCTGCTGTCCCTCACTCAAACTATATCGGTACAATTGAAACTTGATAATGGTACCTTTTTGTAAAGAATAAGCCGAAGTATTTAGGCCAATCAGAAACGGAGAAGTGTTTTGAATGAATAATAATTGCTCACGATTTCAGATTTTTTAGGAGCAGATCTCACCTCCATCAGTTGTCATGTCACAGTAAACTTTCAACGAGTTTCCACTGTTCGCAGGGTCGATCCAGTACCTCCCGTCTCCTTTGGAGTCACCAGAGTCCCGGATGCTCTTACAGGAATAAGCAGGCTGCTTGGAATTCCAGCCTCGCTTTGCTGCAGCAGAAAATAAAACAAATCACTATATATGGTAAATATTTCCTCCGCCGTGAAGCAATTGCAAAATAAAATTTAAAATAATGACAATGACCAGTTTGTTTTTTCTTGTTGGTGGGGAAATCTTGGCAGGAAACCTGAGAAGAAAATAACGAATTGAAATGAGAGACATTTTAAAATAATAGAGGAGAACTGCCGATGACGTCATCGCATGCTCAGTAGTTTTTATCACTTTTTTTGCTTTAGAAGTCATATAAATAAATATCGTTATTGCAAATATTTTTTCGTTTCTGATTGGCTAACAGTCAAGGTAGACAACACCCTCCTCGATCTCTATAATTCTTCAGATGATACTCAGTCGCATTCAATAATTGTTAAATATGTTAATATACTTTCTTTCTATTTCCTACCATACGCGATATTTACCGTGTGAGTAAAAACAAATATGTACTTTAAGACACAGGCAAAACTGTACGACAAATTATTATTTAAAAATCAGTCGACAAAAGTACCATTTAGCGATGTCAGTGTTCTGCAAAAACAACAGGTAATTAATGAGAAGACCTTGATACTCCACAGAATATGAACCAGAAAGGCTAAGAGATTTTAAAATACTTGCCTATTTGACGAAAATAAATTCCGAAAAAACCAAACAAGGTGACCGTCATAAACAAGTGTTTACACTAGTTTTTTAGAGTTAAGGTTTTTTAAAACAGCAGTTTTGAAAACAAGAGGTAATTCATGTTCAAACAGTGGACCTCACCTTAACTTGTTCGTAATAAGAAGATTCTTTCTTCTCAACAAAATCATCCGGCTTCATCTTCCGTGTTTCGTTGTTTAGCTCACAAAATCGTTTTGCAATATCTGCACCAGGATGAACATTAAACGACTTGCAGCTGTCATTTCTGAGACAATTTTGGTGACATTCAAACTCGTCAACGACAGTTGATGTACTCACGACATGACCAACTAAAACATGGTCTGAAAGATAAAGTAATTAAAAATGGAGGAATTTGCAGAAAACATTAGAGTTGAACATAAACCCAGCTATGGCATACGGTCAAATGCGCAAAATAAGTCCCTCGATGTATAAGCCCCTCTAAATATAAGTCCCCCAAACTCGTAACGCAAAAAATCCTCCGTTAAATCGCTCCCCCAAATATAAGCCCCCGGGGGCTTGTACTAGGAAATTGCCCTCAAATTCAAAATAAAACGAAGCAAAAACTGTATAGTAACACATAAATTTTGGCATTTGCCAAAGAATTATTATTACGCGTCCAAATGATTGCAGCCAAAAAGTGTCACCGTATATTGCTGGTGCGTAGTTCACTTTTAACTCTTGGTTTGGATTTCCTTGTTCCATATAGACGAAGTACTTGCGTGACTGAGTTTTAGTAACATCTACGTCTTCAAGGCAAGTTCCAGCAAAACGTTCTGCAAATTACTGACCTTGATTTCTTTCCAACCATAAACTATTCCAATCGATTTTGAGACGTAAATTTCCCTCCCAGTATTAGCCTAGCCGATTTTTGGACGCAAATTTCCCTCCGCATATAAGCCCCTCCAAAAATAAGCGCCTCAAAAAAGCCTCTGAAAAATATCAGCCCCAAAACATTTTCGGAATTTTACGGTAGATTAATTCAGTTTTATAGCCGAACAATTTATGATCTCTTAAGATAAAAAGATATACTGGCTTGCAAAATTGCGATTTGATACAAGCACGAATCGTCAAAAGTACAAAAAAAAGGGATAATGTTGTAAGTAACTTTAACACCAGAATGATATAGTCGGGAATAAAAGTAGTAAAAAACCGAGGGATATATAGAAAACAGTAAACGAAACTAGGACATACATTAACTCAGTTATAGCTGAACAATTTTATGATCTTTTATGATAAGGAGATATAGTGGCTGATACAAGTGCGAATCGTCAGAAGTTAAAAATACGTGATAAGAGTTGTAAGTAATTTTAACATCAGATATAGTCGGCAAAATGAAATGCTTTTTAAAATGCTTTTTGTGTGAAATCGTCATCTCAGATTTATTAAAATGGCGAGTATTTAACACTCTACTGAAGACCAAACTTTTCAAAAAAGCAGTATTTTGTTTGCGTCTAGGAAAAGGTGTTAGAAGACCATTTAATAAAGCCACAGGTGTTAACTTACCAGTCTGAGTTTTATAAACGCTGGCACAAAAGTCCGAGTTGGATATCACCAGTACCACTGCCATCAAAACATTAATGGTCAGAAAAACCAAACGAACGAGCCATGAGACTTCCATTGACGGAAAATTTGTGGCTGAGCTTCAATGTATGAACACTATTAATTATCAGCCTTATACAGTGGGTATTTAGTTTAAGTTTAATTATAAAACTCTTTTGCAATGATAGTTCCCAAGCAAAGCAATTTATAATTCATAAGTGCTTTAATTTGTAACTACTAAATGAAACTGCTTAAAAAGGTTTTACCTATAACAGTCGAGCTTAACTTCATTTTCAAGTAAGCCTGTAAAACAAGTGTACTTTTTTGGCCAAAGGAACGTCTCGTTTTAAAAGAAGCACAGCGAGATGAGAAAGCAGTAATATATGCAACGAGCGAATTCTTTTAGTAATACTGACGCCCCCTGAGAACGTGGGGTCCTTACATGTGACTGCTAAACTGAAAATTACCTTATTGCATGAAATTTTGGCGACACTTTGATTTCGCGATTTTTCTAAAAATCGCTAAATTAAAATGCACCAGAATTAACTGTCGCTAAATTAAAGTGAGTACAAAAAGGAAATTCCGCCATCTGGTCAGTTTCACAATCATGCTATTTGTGTGACCATGTAAATGAGAGAGGACTACATTAAGATATGACATTACGGTTGCAGTTTCGTTTGTTTCGTTCAAAATTAAGTATCAGAACGTTGTATGATTTTGCTTTAAATGAAGCTATCGACGTCTATGATTTTATCACATAAATGTTCTACTGTCGTCGTAAAATTTTTGAATACCTTAATTGGCCAAAGTTTCAGTTCATGCAATCGCGAAAATTAAGTGACTTATGTTCCAAAATTAAAGTGCCGCTATTAAAATAAAGATTTTTCAAAATCGCTAAATTTAAGTGTCGCCAAACTTTTATGTAATAAGATATTCACTATTCTGAATTACTGATGATTTATGGTCAGACTCAATCGAAGCTGAAGGAAATAAATTAACTATTTCTTGAGCATATCTATTAGGCATTCATAGCGGTAAAATGAAAGAGAGAGATGATTGAACCACTTTTTGGTCTGGATAATCCATCTGCTAACTGCAGTATTGATACGGTATTTGAGGCTCTCAATAGTGTTAACCGTTAGCCGTAAAAAATGTCAACCGTAAGAAATTATGGCATAAAAATAAATGTCCAAGGTCTACCTACACTGTTAAAACTGACCAGTTGAAACAAATAATTCAAATAGTCGTGACTAATCACAATAGCTGTTTTAACCAATCTAAAGAGGTGAAAAGGTCAACCCCCGAAAATGGTCAGAATGACCATGATTGCGGAGTTGTTTTGACCCAATGTTTTAGTTAATGTATGATAGGTCAAAATGACCCTGATGAAGAGTTAGTTCCTACCAAGAGAGGATAAAGGGGACAGAGAAGGCATCCCCCGTACACACCCTATTCCATAGGTAATTCGTCTCGAGTTATTTTTAGAATCGGGATAAAGTTACCTCGCGCGCTGCGTGGACGTTTGGCATGACTAAACGCCGTGCAAAACATGTCGGGCGAAAGGCAATGAAAGAGTAAAGAGATCGAGAGCATTCCTGAATATTGAAGCGAAATGAGTCTGCGCTCACCTGGGAAAAGGGAATCGCTCCATCTCTTCTTCCAAAAGACTCTTGTTCCGTTTATTTGATTTCTTCGGCGCCTTTTTGCTTGATTTGGTGACGGTCGAACTCGAAGGCGCAGGTTTAGGCTTCCCTGCACTTTTCCTCCTCTTCGCTTCATCTGCTGAACTGACATCGGAATAGGAGCTTTCTACGTTTTTTTGTATTTCATTGGCACTCTCCGTTTCGGTTACAGCTTCCTCCTCGCTTGCACTGACTTTTTCATCTTCGCTAGAACTCTCAACTTCGCTCGAATCAACGTCGTAACAATGCCTAAAAACAAGCCAGGAAGGGCGATTCTTTTTAATTTCCGTTTCGCTGACACAGCTTTAGCAGAAATCTCCCTGTAGTCGTTTTCGAATAGCAATATCGTTCTCCGTGTCTTCCGCCATTTTGTTCTGCGTCAATTCATGAAGGACGCGTCGCTCTGAGCGTGGGTCATCCACGCGGAACACATTCGCGCTATGTGATTGGCTGTTATCTAATCCCCCCTTGGGATCTGTGGTCTTAAAAATAACTCCAGACGAATTGCCCATGGAATAGGGTGTGTTTGGGGATGCCTTCTCTGTCCCGTTTATCCTCCCTCGTTCCTACCCAAGACAGTAGTTTCAAAAATGTAACTATTATATTCTGTTGCGCAATATTATCTTTAAAAGTATAAAGCTAAGAGTGACTTAGAAAACAAGCCAACATTTCGTGAAAGTGGTGACGTTGCGAAATGTTGGCTGTTTTCTGGGGCTAAGAGTGACTGCTTCTCTTGGGGTTTATTCTCCTCATTGCTCAGGAAAGTAGATAATCAGACCTTATGTCAAGTCGTTTCTAAACAAGGCGATCATTAGTAATATTAACTGTTAAGGGTTTGATCCTAGACCACGCTCAAGTTACCAAGTTTCAACCCTCATCGCGATTAAATATAGTCTTGATTAATTGACTGATTGATTGATTGATTAAGCCATTCCCGTTATCATCCACCGACAAATCATAATGTGTTAGTCAGTGGCAACCTCTAGTAACTTTATTATTATTACTTTTATCATTACATATAATCCCGTTATTACTTAATTGCTATAGGCGGACCTCTCTCGCGCGCCAGCAGAGCACCATGGGTAAGTAAATCTACCCATCCCAGAAAATTTGGTAGTCACGTGACCATACACCGAACGACCGTCCGTCCGCACCACAGGCATACCAATGTGAAATACCTCTGTCAACAGGTATGGCAACCCAGATGCACGTCGAGGTTATTTTGGAGGGAAATCGCATAGCTACCCGCGTCTTGTAAAGCAGAGACAACTAAAGAGTCAATGAAGACGAAAACGGCAAGCGGAAATTGTTTCTGTATCTGTGTGTTCATTAAGCTTAAAGGAGCTGTGTCACGAAATTCAGCCAAATTAGGAAATTAAAAAATGCCTGTTAAATTAAGAGAAACATAAAAATAAATGTTTAAAACTTTAAAAGAAGGTTAAAATAACATAACAGAAACAACAGATGTCACGGATGGGCAAAACTGAAGAAGATTAAAACGGATGGAAATTAGGGTTTTTGAAAACTGTTCAGCCTAACAGTTTTTCAAAGTTGATCCCTGCTGCTTGCAACTAACTTCAAAAATAATGCTCAGGAGACATATTTGTTTGTCTCGGATTTTGTTATTTACATGTAATTGCTTTGCTTACTTTAAGTTCCATAGTGATTGAGGGCGAGTAATTGGCAAAATTAAACAAAATGAACTGGACTGCCCTGACACAGCCCCTTTAATAGATCAATTGTCATGTCCACAAATTTGGCATACAGAGCAGGAGAAAGACAGAGAAAAAGAGAAAGTAGGCGGCAGGCCAGCGAAGCTCAACGAGAAAAAGGGCAACAGAGGTCTACAGCGCGAGAGAAAAAAAAAACAAAAGATATATTTTTTTTTTGGCGGGGGGGGGACAACATGAAATTTTCGTAGTGGCAGTGACAAAATGAGAAATGCTAGCGGCCACCAATGCAAGGTGAAAATGAGCGGCAGTGACATTTCCTCCAAGAAACGTGTAATTAAGATGTTTCTAGAATTTTCACGTTGTAGTCGTGCAAAACCATGGCAAAGAAATGTACAAAAATGTGTGCTGCACATGCAAAGTTGCTTTTTTGCTAATTAGACCTATAGTGTTAAAGTTGTTCAAGAATTCTCTGAGAAACTAGATTTGGTAGACGTCTGGAGGATTCTACACCCAGACACTAGTAGATTTACCTGGAGACAACGTCATCAAAAAGTACACTGTAGGCTCGATTTTTTTCTAGTAAGCCAAAGCACAGTTAACATCACGATCCTCGCAGATATCGTCCCAGGTTATAAAACCGACCACTCAATGACTACGTTATGCTTATCACTACATTCAAATCTACGTGGACCAGGTTTCTGGAAACTAAACACATCTTTTTTAACTGAATTGGATTACGTAAACCAAATTAAAACAACGATTCAGGAAACACTCGATGAGTACAAAAATGACGAATCGGTAAATCCTT